ACCAGAAGATATACCTGCTGAAGAACAAGCAATGCTAAAAGAAATTAGCGAAAAGGATGATGTTCAGATAGTTCAGCTGAGTTGTCACACTGACGAAGGCGTGATGGAGGCGAGAAATTTGGTATGTCAGTGGATTAAATTGTTATCAATTTTATTTATCTAAATGGATTGTGTATACATGTATTGAAATTATAGGCATGCGACAAATTATTAGCTGCTCGTGTTGATTTCAAATTGAGAGGTTCAAAGATCAATGATGTTATTAACAAAATTCATCTCGCTGAACCGGTTGCGCGTGACGATATACCACGTCCACCTCATATCCCCGAAGGAGTGAAAAGTCGACCTAAGTTTGATATCAATGATCCTAAAAGGCCCAAATTGGAAAGGGATTTGGAAGCAGAAGGTGGCGGTCCTGGTGTATATAGTGTTGATCTTAAGAGTAAGTTAATAAAATAATTATTGTCCATTATCGATTACCTTACTTATTAGTTCGCTATTTTTATATTACCTTAAACAGAACAATATGAATTTAAAAGTGCCGAATGGAAATATGACGTAATCCCAGAAGTTATGAATGGCAAAAACGTTGCCGACTTTATTGACCCAGATATTGAAGAAAAATTAGATGCTTTAGAGCGTGAAGAAGAACGTTTGGAGGCTGATGGACATTACGATTCAGAGGAAAACATGGTAATCTTTTTTCTTTAAAGGTCATCGATTATTTGAAAATTATTCATATTAACTTGTGATCATTAATTGATTAACAGATAGATTCTGAAGAAGAAGAAATGAATAAAGTCGCCGAAACAATTCGTGAAAAAAAGAAATTAATTATACAAGCCCATATAGTTACGACTTCATTTCAACTCTTATGAATTCTATAAGCCCTATAAGCCCTATACATAACTTCTAACTTTATATTACCTGTTATTAACCTAGATAGTAGTCAGGTTTCTTTATTAGTTATAGTATGAAAAGTAAGTTTTCACAAATAAAGACAATAGAACAACTTAAATTGCCCAACTTTAATGACCTATAGCCTAAACTCAAACGTTCAAACATACCTCTCATCTAACTTCCGAATTACTTCGTGGATTACCAAATTACTTT